CGGCTGCTGTCTACAGAGGTCTGCTCGCACGTGCGTCCGGCACAGTCGGCCGTGCGGCTGCTGTCTACAGAGGTCTGCTCGCACGTGCGCCCGGCACCATTGACTCTGCGGCTGCTGTCTACAGAGGTCTGCTCGCACGTGCGCCCGGCACAGTCAGCCCTGAGGCTGCTGTCTACAGAGGTCTGCTCGCACGTGCGCCCGGCAGTCAGCCCTGAGGCTGCTGTCTACAGAGGTCTGCTCACACGTGCGCCCGGCACAGTCGGCCCTGAGGCTGCTGTCTACAGAGGTCTGCTCGCACGTGCGCCCGGCACCGTCGGCCGTGCGGCTGCTGTCTACAGAGGTCTGCTCACACGTGCGCCCGGCACAGTCGGCCGTGCGGCTGCTGTCTACAGAGGTCTGCTCGCACGTGCGCCCGGCACAGTCGGCCGTGCTGCTGCTGTCTACAGGGGTCTGCTCACACGTGCGCCCGGCACAGTCGGCCCTGAGGCTGCTGTCTACAGAGGTCTGCTCGCACGTGCGCCCGGCACAGTCGGCCGTGCGGCTGCTGTCTACAGAGGTCTGCTCGCACGTGCGCCCGGCACAGTCGGCCGTGCGGCTGCTGTCTACAGAGGTCTGCTCGCACGTGCGCCCGGCACAGCCGGCCCTGCGGCTGCTGTCTACAGAGGTCTGCTCGCACGTGCGCCCGGCACAGTCGGCCGTGCGGCTGATGTCTACAGAGGTCTGCTCGCACGTGCGCCCGACACCGTCAGCCCTGCGGCTGCTGTCTACAGAGGTCTGCTCGCCCGCGCGCCTGGCACAGTCGGCCCTGAGGCCGCTGTCTACAGAGGTCTGCTCGCACGTGCGCCCGGCACAGTCGGCGCTGAGGCCGCTGTCTACAGAGGTCTTTCAGCGTGGCGCACCCCTCTATTTATTGACTGTGGACGACGGATACATATGGCGAGGGCGACAGACAAACGGTTCAAGACATACAAACGCCCCGGGCCGTCCGCCGCCGCCGGGCCAAGTCTGAGCCGCAGAGACATCTCCGGCCAGCCACTGGCGGCGGCCGTAAATATTTTAAGCGGCGAATAGTGCGGCGGCGCCCGGTCGTCCTGCTCAGCCACATGGCCTGGGCTGGGTGTGGATATGCGGCCAAGAGCTGATACAAACCAGAACTTGATTGCCTGTTGCATGTTCATCTATCACCAAGTGTCGCATCATCACAGCTGCAGACAGTTGCAGCTGGTGAGCTCCAAAAGCTGGTTCAAATCATTTCCTGGCGTCAGCCAAGAAATCGTCGGATCCATCGCCCAGGAATCGCCTGCATTGTAGGCGCATCCATGCAACGCTTGAGGACGAAGCTGCAAATACAGCGCTAAAAATGGTTATAGCTTTACGCAGATGACGCGCATGCCAGATCCTCTTTGTGTGGTCTACACATTCTATAAAAGCAAGAACCATTCATGGAATGGCCCTTGTGAACATTATAGCTTTACGAAGATGACCCTCATGCCAGGTTCCCATCGTGTAGACAATGTATTCTGCAGAAGAAATAGCCATTCATAAATGGCCCGTCTGTAACATCGATAGGATGCAGAAAGTTTGCGGCCATGGTGCAGCCCTAGGCCTATGTCATAACTGTGAGATCGGCTGCACACGACTACTTGGGATCTAAAACGAGGCATATGTGTCAAATTTACGTTAATGCAATCGTTGAATAACATCTAACCTCGTTAATGGCTGAATTGTATGGTCAAGCACAGTGCTACGTTTGTTGCCATAAGCTGTTTTCACAAAAGATTGAAGGGAGTGCTCCACATCTGTATGGGGTTTTAAAATGAAAAAACCTTCTTGAAGATCATTCGGTGCAGTTCACAGCCCTGCCCATCTTAAGGCCTAGGCCCCCCTGGTGCCTGGACTACACGCCCGCGAAGAAGTGCAGACTATTTCGGGAAGACTGTTTTAAGGCCATTCAGGCATCCACGATACCATAATAACGTCATTAAAATAATGTCATTCCATTAGCTATACGACGATGAAGGTGAAGGTCAAGAAAAATATGAGTGAAGCGTCCTTCATATCTGGCGTTCGCGAGCACCATTTCCAGATCTGCGACTGTCAACTGGGTATCAATCAATGCCACACAAGGTACGATAACGTAATCGAACTATGACGTGTTGAAGAGAAAATTTACTAGACAGAGAAATTGTGATGTCTAGAGCGGCCTTTCCACTTAAAAGTATCCAAGTGTTATAAGTAAGCTTATTTCAGCACATCTGATGGCTACTTCAATACCTTTAAATTTGAGACATTTCTTCTTTCTTCACATTTTGTGAGTTTATTTCAGCATATCTGTTGCCTACTTCGGCATATATGATGCTTACTTTATATCCTGGAACCTGGAACATTTCCTCTTACCTTATCATCTTTATATCTTCACATCTGAGACGTGTCATTATTGTCTGCATCCGTTTCGTGTGGTGCAAGGAGGCTTAAAGATTATTCAATTCAAGAATCGGGCATTGTCGACCATGTTTAGATATGTCAGCTCCGCAATTACTGCGAACATGCGGAGAGAGGCGCTAACCAGAAGATATGAGTGTTTTGTCGTGGATGTGTCAGAAATGTCACCAACTTTTCTAACTTTCGAAAAATCCCAGTGGGAAGAGATATGGAAACGTAACTGCCTGTACGAGCGTGATCTTGCTTATAACCCGAGAACCGCAATTTTAGCAGCATATACATGTTTAAAAGCATATTTTGAAATATGTGCACGGAAGTTTGAACTAAGAATTACTAAGTCAAAATTATGTCATTGCAAAATAAACGATAGTTTATCAACAGGTTTTGAAAAGTTTTCATTGGAAGTCGAAAACATAAAAACGGTTGTTATAATCAGCTCCGATCAGTTCTTTGAACATCATCCGAGTTCCTTTGTCACATGATGTGGTCTACGTGGCTTACGGCAATCCGAAACATGCGCACAAAGTTGCACCAGAGGCGCTGTGGGCTTGACAGTTAACCGGTTCCGGGATTAATTTGTCACCTATGCTCGTTAAAGAAGTGCTTCTGGCGTTTTGCGTGTCCGTTTGTAGATGGAAAGATCGTGGGGAAGCTATCTTTGCTAAATGAATAATGCTGGCGGGATCGCATTTGACTTCGTGACATTCTGTGTTCTGTAAAAATAACCAACGTCACCTTGCCACAACTGTCGAAGATGTTGTCGATAAGGCCCCACTATATGACTTCCAAAATCCAACTGAGGGAAGGTTTATTAGAAGTGGCGTATCAGGGGAAGTATGTTCTACATGTTCCAATCAGGGGAAGTAGCAGGCATCGGGTTCGGATAAGTTCATCAACGTAACTATGTGCAATAGCCAGCATTGTTTGCACTTAAAGTATTTCCCTGCATTTTAAGAGGACTAAGTGAACATGCGACCAGATCAAGGAACAGACTGTTAGCTCCCATTCCATACATGCAACCTACAATGATACCTTATAGAGTTGGGAAAAAGCTCTCACAGAACTAAAAGGCGTATATAGATTATATTTTACGGTTATGCAGTGCGACAACACTGCACGAATGCCAGCGACTTCTACGATTACGCACACGTCGTAAACGCATGCACAGCTTCGTCCACGACTCACGAGGATGGTTGGCAATGCCCCACAGTGTTTAGCAGCTTGAACGCCGTTTTTTACACGTCCTTGGAAGAAAACAAACGTATTTCCCCATTGTCATGTTGCATCGCGTTAGAGGAGCGGGCATGCGAAGCTAAGATGGATAAGATCATGACTATAGAAGACCAGTAGCACCGTTTGGTTATTGGCGATCAGTAGCGCCGTTCGTGTTGTAGGCACATTATTGATCAGCAACACCGTTTACGTTGCATTGCATTTGCGTTGCGTTGCGTTGCGTTGCGTTGCGTTGCGTTGCGTTGCGTTGTGTTGCGTTGCGTTGTTGGCAAATTATCGCATCCAGATCCCGTCACTCAGAATTGACAAAGTTGAGGTGAGGGACGTGTTCGTTACCGGCCACAGTAAGCCTTGTGACCCTAGTAGGGTTTTAAAGTGTTCAGTTCAGTTCAGTTCGGTGATGTCGTTGCTGTTTATCCAGTCGTCACTGAGGCGATAAACCAGTTACCTTCATTCAAAAAGGAAGCATCGAGGCGACGGGACCCGGTGATGTTCTCAGACGGTGCCATTTCAGCCAAGGGGTCAACCTCGTCTCTAACGGGTCCTTGGCTCTTATCCGGGGTACCATTCTGCTCCTGGGATCCCATCCTGATGTCATGTAGGCCCACCGCTTATGTTTTACAAACCCTACGAACGTTTCAGGCCGTCAATAGTTTTGGGACGCTCCTTGGACACCAGGGGAGGCCCATCACCTTCCGCGCGGCATCGTTCCAACAGTTCTCCCGCCCTCACCTTTAGTTTCCCCACTCGTGGAACTAACTGCTGGTATAAATCAGGTGTGACCCATTCTTTGCTGCAAAAGCTTCATGAGTATGACAGCATACGGAGGCAGATGAAGCGCCCGCTCTTCGCGGCCGTAAAGTTTAACACTAGCCTTTCGGCGATTTATGCATGTAGTAGGTATTACGAAGGGTCGCGCACGCGTTCTGCAGGGCGTTCCTCGGGCCTCAAGGTTCGGATGAGCAAGATCGCCCGGCGCATAGAGCTGCGCCACGGCTGAAGTGAGGAAATCCTGCTACTAGTGCCACAGACGTTCCAAACGGCCGTCAATCGGTTACTCAGTCCATTGATCTGACGACAAGCCCAAACGCCTGCCCCAGCAGCGGTGCCGGCCAGACGCACTCCTGTGACGTGGTGTCATTATCGGACACTGGCCGGAGGCGCTCCTCTGCGTGGTGTCACCATCGGACACCAGCCAAGGGCGCTAGTGTGGCGCGATGTCTCCGCTGGACACCAGCCAGAGACGCTCGTACAGCAGTGTCACCACCAAACACCAGCTGGAGACGCGCGTGGAGCAGTGTGATCATCGCTCACGGGTTGCTTACCTGAGTACACGGGATGCTCTCGCCATCGCGCCGGGCAGGAGGACGAGCTCTCCCTCTCTCTCTCTTAGTCAGTGGTGTCACGTCACGGCGCTCTTCTGCTCTCGAACACTGGTGCTCGCGGAGCCCAGCGCACCAGCTGAGCAGGAGCGCACCAATTGAGCAGGCGCGCGCCGCTGGGGTCCTGTTTGTGGTGCCCGGGCGGGAGACGTGCGCCGCCGCTGGATGCCGACGTTGGAGACCGCCCAAATCGAGCCCGCGCTGCACGGGTACGCACCGGGCGCACGCTCCGCCGCCTGTCCCCCGCTCCGCGCGCGCTGCTCCCCGACCTCCCACACACTGCAGCCGCACTCGAGCGAAGGCCGGCGGGCACTGTCGCCTCGACGGGCACCCCGCGAGTGCCGGCGAGCAGGCGCCAACGCCGGAACGGCGGGCCCGACCGGTCCGGTCGCGGCGGCCGCTGCGCGCGCCAGCTGATAAATTCATCAAACCCGTTTGGCTGTCAATTTGACACATTTGATTGCATTATCCGATTTCTTTGAATAATTTAGCAACGCTGTAAGTCTTATCGCCTGTCACGCGGCCGACACCTCCGAGATGGACGGAGTAGTTGATTGGCTGTCCCGTCTAATTGGGCCTGAGACAGGGATCGGCCAGCTTGTACAGCCGATTTAAGTGCTATCCGCATGGATCGGTAGGCCCGGACTAAGGCTGCACGGCTGCATTTTTCGTCAAGTATGTCCAGATATTTTTTCGTGGCAGGTGGCACTTCGTCGACAGGCCATCTGCGGCATGTCCTTCAATGTTTTTTTTCTTCGTGATCGATGGTGGTGATTGACGCGATGAGTTATAGGCCGCTTGGTTGGCCCGGAGGGTCTTCTGCGGTGATAACGATAGTGAAGTAAATATTCCAGGCTTAACGAGGTGTGAGTGGTGAAAATTCTAGAGCCAGCCGCTGTGGTACTGAACCGGCGATCTGATTTCCCACCTCCGGCGTCAACCGTGCCTGATATGAGATAAGTGGAGTAATACCAGCTGGGCACTGCGAGGTTGCAGGCTGCATGCACGGCATATTGGGGCATGTTGGGCTTGCCGAAACTTACTGTTGTTCAAACACGGCAAGCCGGTATTGTTTTTTGCGCAATGGTATTATAAATCACAATGCATCGAAGGACGGCGGACACAGAGCTTGAAGTATCCCCCCCCCCCCCACGCGCTCCTTCATTCTGCGTACAGTTCTGGGCAGGGTAATAGAAGTCGGGTGGAACAAAGCCCGGCACAATATTTTAGTACAATCCTAGAAACATGCTGGGCGTGTGGCGCAAACGCCATGGTAGCGAGGGCGTGTCGAGTTCAATGCGTGACTGATTGAATGATAGGTTTAAGATTCAAAATGATACCTGGAAACCGGCAGTGTTTCCTGAATTCTATGCGTCGAGACGTGCTTTTAGACATACAAATGTATACCCCAATATGCAATTTTGCGATGCATTGACCCAGACCTGCTGCACTAGCGAGTTCACACACGTATTTCCAATCGTGAAGCTGGTGGGGCCAGGGTCAGCTGTCGGTCGATGGAATGCACTTGTATTGCGGATGCGTTAAGGCCGGGGTTTTCAAAATAACTGATTCCAGTCCGTGAGTTTTTACCTTCAAGCACACAATTCTGGGGTAAAAACGCTAGTGCAGTTGAAACGCATCGCGATCAGCTATCCGGTGATGAGCCCGTTTCGATCACAGCCACGATAAGCCCGTCACTAAAAGCCAAAGCGAAACAGCTGGCGCAAAAATAGACGGAAGATGAAACGTCGGGCTGGCCTCCACTTTTGAGTGTTTTTGCATCAGTTTAGTCATCACAAGTATTACAGAACTTACTGCATGCTTGTGACGGACCCAGAATGTCCCTGAGGGGATATTCTCCGGTTAGGTCAATTGGTGAAGTACTGACCTCACAATTCATTAAACCATATGGCCAAACGCCAAACAATGACCAAACAAGACCCTGGTTCAAATCCCGGCAATTCAAGGAGAAAATTCGGGGTATGACACATAGCTGAAAACCCGAACATCCCCAGCCCTTCTCAAGACTCCATGACACTTGAAGATCACCGGAGAGTTAACTAGCCGAAGCTTTGTGAATATTCTATAATACTCCAGACGAGGCAGCAGTCCAACCAAATTTCACGTGATTACGAAACATAGAGTATCGAGCCCTCCATTCAAAAAATTTTACCGTAGATTCCAAGGCATTTTTGCACGTTAAATGCGGGTGAAACTACCCTCGTACTCGGCCAAATTTCCTTAGCATTAATCTCATATTTCGCCTCCCCGCCCCCTTTCAGCCACAACCGCTGTAGCCAGCGCCGGATCCAAAGGAGCCCAGGGTTATACTGTGGGCTCGGCAGGGGCGCATGGCTGGCCGAACGCACGCAGGGTTTTCAACAAAAGTAAAAACAAGGGAACGACTTCGACCCCAAGCCGACAAAGCAAATCCGAAGGCCAAAGTGTGGGGCCAGTGCGCAGAACAAATGGCGTAAGATTTATTCATGGGTCTGTTATGGGAAAAGTCTTGGATAGAGAAGTCTTGGGACTGTCGAGCGGCCTTACTCTGTTACCCGGTGCCCCACATTTTGATTTAAAGTGATGCCCTCGGTCCCCAAGGGGCCTTCCGTGTTGCTGTTGAGGTCTTCACATTTGCTCGGAGGGGACTAAGCTGATTTATAGGGCCCTATGTTAACCTACCAGACACTCCCATTCGCTCAGGAGCCCTCCTGAGCGAATAGGAGTGTCTACCAGTTATATGTTAATTACGTTATGTTAGCCTACCAGACTCTTCCCATTCGCCATGAGGACTCTATACTTTGTTGCGGTGGCGTTATATGCTGTTGAACTGCTGGCTTACCCTCGGTGGCTCCGGAGCCCGTCACAATGGTGTCGTGTTCTTCCCACTTGTTCGCGGCGCCTTGCGCTATTGCTGAAGGCCGTGTAACTTAACCCAGCGAGGCACTAGATATTCAGAGGCCCTCTACATTGGTACAGGCCTCCTCCCATTTGCACCCGCTACCAAAGGGTACTCCTGTCCGGGCCGCCTTTCTTTTAACGTGCCCGGACATTCTTGATCGCTTGGTGGCTTGTCTCGTCGGTCTTCGGCACTTTATACTCTCTCAGGGGACAATGCACTACTGCCGGGGTCCATATTTATGAATCTGCTGTTACACCTCTGATCTCTTAGGGCGCTCCGCATCAGTGTTCGGTTCTCCCGTGCCCTCGGGGGCCCTGCGCTCTGGCCAGGGATCCTATTTGTTAACGTACCGGGGCATTCCCGATCGGTCAGGTGCCTGACACAGTTGTTTTGGGCTCTTCTCGTTTGCTCGCATGCCCCTAGTCCGTTGACAGTCCGTGTTGAGCAACTGCTACACCCTTGACCTCATAGATGTCGTCAACATTGGTCTCGATTTTAGCTATTTCACTGGAGGGCCTAAATTGTTGATGGGGGGCCCTAGAAGCCCCGGAGCACTCTTGACTTTTCTAGATCTCGTCACACTTTTTGGGGCTATTCGTATAAAAAACCTTACACCGATGTCGAAAACCCATATGTGCTGGCGATGGCGGACACTCCTTCAGTTTTGGTGTTCCGCCCGTCAGCGGGTTTGGAGAGTTGACTGGGAGTCTTGTAAGCGTATGGACTGGCTCGGACTCATCTGTTGATAATTTTATCACATTAGTCCTTCAACTAATTATGCCCATGATGTGTTCAAGGAGCCATCATGAGTCGACTGAGCCATACCTTTTTTTAGGTTTCGTAGACTACCTTGTTAATGAAGCACTTCGCTCTCTCGTGTGATCAGCTTTCCAAGCTGAAAAGAGTAGTACTTCAGTCGCCCCATGGAGGGATTCCCTGCATCTTTTATGACAGTAAAACTAAAAAGGTGCATTCATATCGCAACAAGACTGCGCAAGTCTCTTTTCATTGTTTTGCTGGATACAGACCTCGTTCAATGAATTTACAGGTTCGATTTAATTCATAATTCCGAGATGTGTAGCGTGATGATTTTGATGTGGGCCTTACGTGCAGATAGCAGCAGCAGCAAATTTTCTGAGCAATTTCACTCTCAAGCTCCTGAGATAATTTGACACGATGGCGACATCATGCATTGGAGTCTCGTCGGCTGTTCAATTTGTGATATTCATTTCACTTGTGCGTCACATTCTGTACACATTTCGAGGGTTGGCATATTTCCTCCTTATTCCCTCATTATTGTCTGAGCATGCAGCAAGGTATTCACTTTTTCACAAAATGTAAGGACATTTCAATAATTTCCTTAACACCGTTTATAGAGTCGAATCCACGTTTCACTGCCACGGAACTTTAAGCCACCAAAGTCTCAAAATTGCACCTACACTTGGTAGTGGAAGCGAAGGGCTCTGCCGCCTTTCGTTTCCACCACCAGCCTTACAATATTTGTGCCATGCCATGCTACTGAAATCTTTACAATTTAAAAGTCGCGTAAAGACTATCGCCTCCGATTCGAACCACTCAGCGTGCGTTTATTGAAATGCCGAGCCCTTGAAGCAGCCTCCGTGGAAAATATTTCACACGCGTGGCGCAGATGCCCCTCAAGAACTACAAACTGCTGTCAATTCTGTGCTGCGCTGAGCTCCACAAACTCGAGCTCGGTTTATGACAGCGCGTTTGAGTGCATGTGATTGGGATAATGAGCTGGTAAAGATCTTGTGCTACCAAATGTACCCGGATAAAGGTAGTCTCCCCAAGCTGGAGGATGGATGGGGACTGACAACCACGCTTTGGGCACATTTCTTCGGGACGCGCTTCCATTCCGGTCTGCACCCATGCATAGAGCTAATGTAGGATCTTCAGAAAGATAGGGGCCTGAACCTCTAGTTCCTGCACCCCTATAAAGGTAAAAAATGTGCCTTGTGCCAGGGAACCCCACCTTACCATTACCATAACCTTAGGTTGTAGGTCTTACGGGACTCTTCAAAATGTTTACAAAATGCTGTACGCCCGCGTTGCAAGCCGCGTCTTCGTCCTTCTAATTGGAATACCAAAAGGCCTCTTTTGCCTTTCGGGGCAATTTTACTGACGGTCCACCACACAAAACATGCTGCGCGTTCAGATAAAAAGGGTGGTTTTTTGCTAGCCGGGTAGACGGCTACCCACTACGTCCATCAGCTAGCCGCAGCGGCCGTTAGCCGACTCGGCTAGTCGGCCGTGAGATGTCGGTTTTTTTTACATGAGCATACGCATTTGTCGGAGCTGCGGGCTTGGGATACCCATCCCAAATCCACGGCTATAGCTGTCAGTTTTGTAGTCAAGTGTTAAATGTTAGGTTA